TCGCGTGTCCAGGCCAACCAAGTACCTGGAATTGCGTATAATGGGCCTGAACGACTCCGTGACGGAGGAAGAGGTCGTGGCCGCTGTGGCCAGGACGGGTGGGTGCCCTGCAGAGCAGGTTAAGGCCGGCACCATGTCGTGGAGAACCTAACGGGTAACCGGGGCTCCGACTCGACGTGCAGGAGAAGGAACGGGGTGGTTTTTAGTCAGTAAGAGTCTGACACTCCCTCCCGCCTCACCCAGGCGGGAGCAGTCATTCGATGATTATCCCCCCTTAAAAAAAAAGGCCGGCACCATCTGTCCAGATAATTCAGGCCTGCGAACGGTTGTAGTGAGCTGCCCCGTCTCAGTACTTCATAAACGGATCAAATAAAATAACCTGAGAGTTCCGTGGTTACCTCGAACATTGTAAACTTTATACTCAGATATTTTAAAAAATATTAAATTTTGCATTAAATATTGATTTAAACATATTTAATAAACCCAAAAAGAACAGCACAGAAAAATTAGTAACTTTTGCATTAAATAATGTAATTCAAAAACCCAATTTATACAGATGTCGCTGTTTCACGCGGCCGCAGTCGCGGGTAACAGCTAGTTATCGATATATTCAATATTTGTTACGTATTATTTTTATCTTTACCCTCATTTTTATTAACACCTATTTAATAAATTAATGCATATACCGTCACTAAAATAGGTAATATTAAATACCAACATGTGCATGGTGAACGAATGTTTTTATGCACACAAATATAAAATTACTTACACATAGCCGTGTGAACATCACTCCCACGGATAAATATGCGTGTGCATGTGTGTATAAGCGATGCAGCGCAAACGATAGTAGTTTTTACGGTGTCACTCGACTTTTGATGTCTGACTGTACGTGTCTCCTCATCGGCAGCGCTGGTAGGGGCGTACACCTGTATGATGTTCATACGGCATGGTTACGTGTTCAGCTTGACATTGATGCCATATTTGCTGAAGACCTAAAGCAAATAGGTGATTATGGAATAAACTTTCTGCAGAATCTATGCAATCAGATATGGAGGACTGGTTGCTGGCCTAAGAAGTGGAGGGAATCCGTACTGATTCCCCTACATAAGAAGGGATCTACGAAGTCTTAAGAAACTACAGAAATGTGGTGCTCATTTCTCATGTTAGTAAGGTTCTTCTGTATGTAGTTGATGAGCGTCGTAAGGCATTTCTGCAGTGGCAGATTCCAGTGGAGCAGGCAGGATTGGTAGAGGGACGAGGCACTAGAGAACAGATCGTAAACATCAGGCAAATCATAGAAAAATGTCGCGAATTCAACATCCCAATGTTCATCTGCTTCGTCGATTACTCAAAAGCCTTTGACTGTGTAAGATGGGAATGCCTGTGGAAAATCCTGGGGGAAATGGGAGTACCTAAACACCTTGTGCACCAGCCTCCTTGCAAACCTTCAGGTTATATCATGACAAAAAAAATTTGCCAATCATTGGTATGAAACTTACTTGTCAAAAATATGTCAGATAACCTTACGAATATGTACTTCATACTATAAATTTGCGCGTGTCTGTTTGTGTTGTTACAAATTGACGTGATTTATTTTATTAAATGAAGATATTTAAAAGGACTGAAATTAGCATAGGCTACATTTTGTTCCCATCTAACTCATCACTTCCCTAAAACAGGGCGTGAAAATTTGTCTGGAGAATTTTGTAATTTTCAAGAAACAAAGTAAAAGCAGTATAAGTAGTTTTTTGGTAAGTTTTCACACATTGGGATACATTATCGAAATTTTCACACGGTTCCCTTTTTTATCTCATTAAATATGTTCATCATTGATAATGTAGGATTCCAACGGTGAAAAACTTTTCACATCGATCCGGTAGGTTCGGAGCAGATTCAATTCAAACAAACAAACAAAATATGAAATCTTTATATTATTATATAGTGACGACAAGGAATCACAATAAAAAATTAAACATCAAGGATTTTTAGGGACTTAAGATTTTATAATAATTATCGTATACATACATATATACATACATAAATATATACAGCTATTCGTTTTTTTTGTTTTTAAAGTCGGTTAAAAATTACTATTAAAATTAAAATACTTTTACTCCGGAGCAGCATTAGGTCCGAATCCAGTCAACGTTTTTTCAAATCCTGACCCTAGTGAAGTGAATCATTTTTTTTAAGCGGTGAAAATCATCGAATGACTGCTCCAGCCTAGGTGAGGTGGGAGGGAGTGTCAGACTCTTACTGACTAAAAACCACCCCGTTCCTTCTCCTGCACGTCGAGCCACACGAGAGACTCCAAATCGTTATCGGCCCTGTTGGGCCCCATCTGTGGTGGTCTTTGAGGAGCGCGCGGAACGCGACGCGCCGTATGCTCGGGTCTGTTTCTGGTCGGACGGGGAGCCACCCATGTTCGCCGTCCGCAAGCACGCGCTTACGGTGGCCGGAGATCGTCCCGTGATCCCCGACGCCCGGTGTGTCCTCAGCGATGGCTGGGTTGCGAGGAGGTAGCGCTTCACTGCCTCACGCGTCCCGCCTCCTCCTTAGTTAGCATAACTGCTTCGCAAAAGGAGGAGACGGCATCCCAGTCCCACTCGCTCCGCATCATGGCCTGCACTAAGCCCGGACGCGAGAGGTCGGTATCACCGATCACTTCCCTGAGGGCACGGCGGTACTCAGCCCACGCAGAGCATTCCTCCACTGTGTGTTCGACTGTGTCTTCAGGGCGGTCCTCGCAGTGATGACACCCGGACGTTAGTGGAGTGAACTTGAGTGAAGCTATGGGCAACAGTCTGTATACCAACCAACAGAAAGCATAATACCTTGTCATCTGTTTTGCTAAACCAGTTATACAGCTAAATCCATACTAATACTAATATTATAATACTAATATTATAAATGCGAAAGTAACTCTGTCTGTCTGTCTGTTACTCTTTCACGCCTAAACGCTGAACGGATTTTGATGAAATTTGCTATGGTGATAGATGATAATCTAGAAATGGTCATAGGCTATAAATAATCACGCCATCTTTTTTAGGGGGTAGGCAGTAGGCAGAAAACTGAATTGAGTTACTGATTTTTTTATGGTTTTTGCTGGGAGTTTTGCTCTTAATGCCTATACAGCTGAACGGATTTTGATGAAATTTAGTTAAATGATAGATAGTAACCTAAAAAAGGATATGAGCTATTTATATTCATGTTATCGTACTTGAGGCGTAGGCAGTAGGCAGAAAACCAATTAAGTTAGTGATTTTTAATCGTTTGTTTTTAAAGTTTACCTCATTTACGCCTTAACGTCTGAACGGATTTTTATATGACTTGGTTAATTTAAATATAAGATCCTAGCCCTGTGGCTAGGATCTTATATTTAGACACAGCCTACTTTTTACGGCGGGAAAATACCTCATTCCCGCGAAAACTAGCGTGATCGTGGCTGTATCGGTTGCTCCCTCCGGAATTAAATAGTCGCCACTCTGCTCAATGGTGGTCGAAAAGAAATGACAGTCTATAAGTAAAAACAGCGAGCGTGGACGTTTGTTGCAGCAAGAGTGTACTATGTCCCATAAAAGGGCAATTGAAGCTCTAGATCGAACTTTGAAAGACATCAAGAGTAATCCAAATATCATGGTGGGGATGGTGGTTAGTATGGATTCAAACACAGACATATTAAAAAAGGAGAAGTGGCAAGGGGGCGTGTCCGTGATACTCGCAATTGAGCGTTCCGCTCAATCGAGGAAAATATGGCCGTCACCACGAGTTAGTCTGTTGTCACGCGCGATCGTATAACAAACGATAAAATACCGTCTTGTACGGTAGTTTCGTGCAGAAATTTATGTCAAAACAAAAACTGTACAAATCATGACTTCGGTTACCATGTGTAAGAACAAATATTTACAATATTTATCTTAAAAATCACGAAAACCAACAAGTTATTACTTTATTTTTTTTTCTATACTACTTCGACTGTATTATGAATACATTAATACATTGCTATTTTACAACCACCTTTTTTTTAAGGGGTGAAAATCATCGAATGACTGCTCCCGCCTGGGTGAGGCGGGAGGGAGTGTCAGACTCTTACTGACTAAAAACCACCCCGTTCCATCTCCTGCACGTCGAGCCGGAGCCCCGGTTACCCGTTAGGTTCTCCGCGACATTTTACAACCACCTAAGTGTGACACTGAGTAACTAAACCAGCAATGTATAAGTGACTTAACGAAACGCTCACAAGACGCGATGTCACATGGTGCGTCCGCTGCTCAAGACCGCCGTATTTGAGCGAGATAGTGATGTGGTCGCGGAGATTTATCAAAGTCTATCGACAAGAAAGTCAATTGCAAATAGTTATATTTTGTTAAAATTAATTTTGTTAAAATTAATAATATTTTGTTGGTTTCATGTCATTTTTACTTTATTTCCAGACCTTTGTAATAAATTTATCGATATGTTTATCGGGAGCTATCGATATGGCGACGGTAGATCCCGCTCCTAACAACAGTGACAAAATGTTTTAGTGTGAGTAAATCATAGGAGAATGTGCGCTGTCGTTTAAGGAATAGTTAAAGATGCCGCGAGTGTGCCACTTATTCGTAGTATTGTTTTGTCAGAACTATGTGTGTAATATTAGTTTTATGTAGGCGCAATTGTGGCTTCACCGGTTTTGCATACATTTTTGACTCCACACCATAATCTTCTTCTTTAATATATTTGTGGGTACCATAATAGTAAATAGAACAGATTTTATAACTAAAGCCTTACGGAAATAGGCACTGTACTGATAAGATCCCTGCGGGATTTTTTTTTTTTGAAACCACGATAAATTATTTTACAGGCACTGATTCTGATGAATTCTGTCAGAAGTCATTATTCTACGCGGACGAAGTCGCGGGTAACAGCTAGTACAATATAAGTACCTATAATAGATGCAAAATAACTCACAACATATTTAAATGAACTGAATAAGGATAAGGCTGCAATCGGTGCTAGGTTCTCAAAATGTACGTAGCATTGGGATTAGTGTTGTTATGTTTCGTGGTGCTCGCTGTGTGGACGACGTGGTTCAGACAGAGACTTGATGCACCTCCTATGATGCCAGGCTTGCTCCCGATTATAGGACATGCACATGCCCTTATCGGAGACCGCAAACGTAAGTAAAATATGTTCATAAGATCATTTAATTTTTCGCTTCAAATAGTTTCCAAAAATACCACCGTCTTCAACGAACCAGTATCTTATTAGCAACTAGGTATCGCCCGCAACTTCGTCCGCATAGAATAATGGCTTATTAAATGTCAGAATCGATTCATCAACCTATGTAAGGTTACATATTTATTGTGAAATTAATTTATTTTCGTAGTTTCATAAAATAAAAAATCCTACAGGGTTTTAACCCGTACAGTGTTCGTCTCGAGAACTTTCAGTGAAAAAACTAGGTTATCTAAATCCTTTCCCGAGGTACTAACCTTTTTGGACCGAAGTTTAATTATATGGGTACAGTGACCTATAAGATATCGAGTGCCGGAAGTTTATTGCGTGATTCTCGGTCTTATGGGATATAATTATATCAGACCGGCAAAATTCATAATTTTGGCCTCAATGGACTAAAATGAAATATTGTCGGTTTTCAAGGAATAATAATAGTATTCAGCTCTGTGTAATTAGTTTTTAATATGAATTTAGTCCTATAAGTAAGGAGATAAATATGAAAGTCACTTGGAAAGTTTTCCGTGAGTTTTGAAAATCGACATATTTGTAGATTTTGCTGTGTTCTTTTCGACTTCCATTTTGCACCTTTATATGCCTTTGTATGAGGTTCGCCGCCTCCCCGGAGATCGTGTGGTATCCGTGGATCATTCGGATCACTTATTAAATGTATAGACAGTGCATACTAAACTTCATATAAAAATCGACTTTATATATATATACATATCTCTTTATTTTATTTATCACAAACTCTTGCATATGTTACGTTGTAGAGTTATCACACATCTTCTATCTATACTAATATTATGAAAAGGAAGGATTTGTACGTATTTTTGTATGTTTGGAATGAATAGGCTCAAAAAATACTGGGCTGATTTAAAAAATTCTTTCACTAATAGAATGCTACATTCTTCCTGTTTGACAAAAGCTACATTTCATTTTGCAAAAAATTAGGGATCCTTGGTAAAATTTGAACAATGTAACCGAAGGTGTAGAAAAATGAGTCTTTAAATATCTTTCGTCGATTGTGGTACCGAAACTATTAGCGATAGAACGAAATAATGTACAACAATATTGAAGAACATCATAATGTCTACAAAAAACTCCGCAGTAGCATATGTCCAAGTATTGTAGTTATGTCACTACAACGATCCAAATTTCCAAAAGTAAATAATTGTCTACCCCGTGTGAAGCCGGGACGGGCTGCTAGTCTTCTATATATGAATATCTATCTTCTTCTTCTTCTATATATATATAATTCAAAGGTGACTGACTGACTGACATAGTGATCTATCAATGCACAACCCAAACCCTAAAGTATAATTCAAATTCCAAAATTCTGCTAGAAGTCACTCTACGCGGACGAAGTCGCGGGCAACAGCAATTTCTTTATAATTCTATTATTTAATTTTTTTTTTCATACATTGATATAGCAAATATTAATATTATGAAAACTTGCAAGTTTCAAATTTAAGATTATTTCTTTATAATACATATACAGCCCTGTCCTGACGTAAACAAAGGTAGTATTAGAAAGATATATTGTAAATGTTAGAAATTAACAACTTTAGTTTACCGTTTTTGTTTATTTACACCCGCTTAAAAATGTATTAATTTTTAAAACATTTTAGATTATTGGAAATTTATTCAGAATATCAACGCAACATCATTTGAACGTGGTGGAGCCATTGAATTCTGGATGGTCTATATGAGATATTATAGTAAGTAATTTCGATTATTATGTGTATAAAGGTTTCTTTGTGTGATTTACAAACTGTCATTGTTACCAGATTGCGTGCAGATTCTTTTTTATGGATTAAGTCACTAAACAAGCAAAGCAAATGGATCACCTGATGGTAAGCAATCGGAGCCGGCCATGAGCACCTGAAACACCAGAGGCGTTACAAATGCGTTACTGGCCTTTTCTGGGTTAGGAATTTAAGGATTGTTAAGGTTAAGTGGGTTAAGGAGATTGATGACCCTCCGTATTGGTCCTACGGTAACCTCACTAACACGATGAAACACAACGCAAACGTTGTTCTACTTTGGTTTTCGGTGGGGTTGTGGTACCACTCTGGTTGAGACGACCAATTTGTGCCAAAGCATGGCTCAGCCACGCTTATTCGGAGATTGAGGAGGGGGTAATAGGGCTAATTGACGACCTAAAACGTAAAGTCACTCAAACAATGTGTCAAGTTATTACTGACTAAAACGACGTCAATCCAGTTGAAATAGGGGGGAGCAGAATTTCCTGCTGCAAACTTGTTCTGCCTTAACCGCAACCTTGGCCTTTCTTATAGTATATAATCGGTTATTTAGGTTCATTGTGATTCGAAGAGATTCAGAAACGACTGGCTCTCGGAAGCAGTCTAGTGGGGGTACCTTGATTGCGTGTAGGAGAAGGTTTATTGTGTCCAGTCATGGAGACCGTGAGAGCTCATACGAGAATCTGGCGATATCCTTGAGCTATGGTGGAGGTTCTACATTAAATATTTACTATGGTTTACCTACCATATAACCTTTGTGTTGAGGAATATATCAGGTTCTTTGAAAGATGTTAGAATGCCAAGGTCGAAGTCAAAAGTTTATGTCAAACTCAAAATCATTTATTCAATTGTACCAAGAAGGCACTTTTGAACGTCAACAGAAAACGTCGATCATTCTGGTTCGAATACCATTTTAATATTGGCGACTTTATCATACCTGGGCCTTTAGCCAAACGCCACTTTAGCGCTTGTCTACAGAGAGAGTAGAAATCAAAATGTATGGGGATGACACTGACAAGTGTCAAAATTTACGTCAATTCCATATAATTTGGATTTCTATTCTACAAGTAGACAAGCGCTAAATGGCATTTGGCTACAGCTGCAGGTGTTACTTGGAGTGGTGACGTTACATTTTATTGTCGTCAGCAACCGCGAAGCGCGACCGACGCTTTTTGATTTTTGCATGTCATCTTTGCATTCATGTGAATAACCCGACAATTTTAGTTAACTTAGTATGTCTCAAAGTTATTGTAAAAACGTTAATAGGAAATTGTTATTTGCTTGGTCTGATTATGAGGATAATATTGAATAATTTATCTAATGTTTAATTGTGGGGTGCGGTGCTAGAAGAGGGGTGCAATGCCAGAAGACCTCCCCGTGGTGCACCCTGGGTGCGGGCGACAATCTCCCTAACAGGGGTGATAGGGTTGTCGTGACTGTCACCCGCAGCAGACTTCTGGACAGGGTGGTCGAACCTGAAATATTCTGAAGGCGGCGGGTTGTGTGCGGAGGCGCATATGGCGCGCTTTCGAGAGGCGTTTCTCCATCCGTCTCTCTGAACTTAGCAGAGAACGTGGCGGAGAGGCAAGGGCGGTGCTTGTTGTGCACTCACCGTCCTTCGAGCAGCATCGAGACACAGGCTGTCCCCGATTGCAGCCGTCGATATATCGATCGTCGCTATATCTGTCGATATAGCTATCTTTATCTTACAAAAGCACGCCGTCAGAGCTATCTACAACCTAGGTCGTCACAAATCTCTCAGAGAGAGGTTTAAGGAGATCAATATTATGACCGTTCCATGTCAATTTATACATGAAAACATCATGTATGATAAGAAAAACCTACAGTTATTTGGTAAAGTGTCGGACAAACACCATTATCAAACTTCAAACATAAGGATAGATTAAGTCAGCCAATTTTGAGATTGGCGAAAGTAAGTAAGTCGTTCATGGGATTCTGTGTTAAATGTTATAACAAGATACCAAGCGATATACAACACCTAAATGATACGAAGTTTAAATTATGTATAAAAAAATATGTAGACAAGCATATTACAAACTTAATGATTAGTTATATAGAAGATAAAAATGCTTGGATGCACGCTGGTCCTGCTCCACGGGATAACGAAAAACACTGATGTTTCAATGAACTCCAAACATGTAAATATTATAACCTAGTTGCTAAAATGTATATTGTTTAACTTGCATAATGATCGTAAATGTGAGAGCCCTGTAATTAACTAAATTGGACTAGTAGAATGCATTTATGTCAGCTTGAAGTTGTCATGTTCACTCAAAGATCTCATTGGCGGTGGCACGTGCATTGGATCGCTAGATTCCCTGCAATAAAGTTCTCTTTGGCTAGATTTTGGTGTTACATTGTTCTCGCACAATCGAACCAATAAAACTGTGTAACTGAAAAATTGTATTGTGAACTTGATTGAAAAAGAGTAACCTATGGAGTTTCTTGCTCGTTCTCCTCCATAGGAATCTACACCTTGGAATGAGCAAATAGCTTCACTTTTAAATTTCTATTGCTGACGTTCAAAAGTGCCTTCTTGGTCTAATTGAAATAAATGATTTTGATTTTGACTTTAACTTTGATTTCGAACCGCCTCGTCGCGCATCTGACGGACATTAGGCCGGACCTGTCGAACGGCCAGTTCGGCTTTCGCAGAGGGCGCCAGGGGTAAGATCGTAGTGGCAGAGTCTCTGAACTTCGCAAACGCCTTCAACTCCCTGCCCTGGAGCTGCATCTTGGAGGCAGTCCGATATCATCGGGTGCCTACCTACCTCCGCCGTGTAATCGAGGCATACCTGACGGACAGGTCCGTCAGTTACCCCGGTCACCGGGGCGAGTGGAACCGAAGAGAAATGTCACGCGGTGTTCCACAGGGATCGGTTCTGAGGCCACTCCTGTCGAACATCGGCTATGACAGGGTGCTGGGAACCGACCTCCCGAGCGGCGTTATCATCACCTGCTACGCCGACGACACGCTGGTGCTGATGCACGGAAGGTCGCACTAGGCGGCGGCCGATTTAACGGCGACAGCGGTTGCGACAGTCGTTGAGAGAATCCGGCAGTTGGGACTCGAGGTGGCGCTCCATAAGTCCGAGGCCATGTGTTTTCATGGCCGCGGAAACGCGCCACCTCCGGGTGGGTCCCAAATAACGGCGGGAGGAGTTACCATCGGCGTCGAGACGACGATGAAGTACCTGTGCGGGTGCCGAACCTGATGCGATGTCCCGCTCGGGCCCTGCTCATGTCACAGAGGGTCATGGCGATCCTAATAATCCGTGGATACCGCATGATCTCCGGGGAGGCGGCGAACCTTCTTGCCGGATTACCACCGTGGGATGTGGAGGCGAAGGTGCTCGTGTGTTGCATGCCCGCGGAGGCACGTAGCCGATGCGAAACTCCGCTGCCGCGCCAGATAAGTGCGTGGCAGGAGGAGCTCCGGCGCGATCTCATGGCGGAATGGCGGCAACGACTGTCGCAACCGAGGGCTGGGCACGCTGCTATTGCAGCGGTAAGTCCCCTCTTTGAGGAGTGACTTGAGAGACGCCACGGCGTCCTCACCTACCACCTGACGCAGGTACTCATCGGACATGGAAGTTTCGGGAGGTACCTGTGTCTGATAGGGCGGGAGGAAACGCCCGGGTGTCATCACTGCGAAGACCGCCTTGAGAACACGGTGGAACACACAGTAGGGGAATGCCCTGCGTGGGCTGGACTCGCCTACCCACCGCCGTCAGGGACGTGATCACCCTCTCATCAACCTCTCGCGTCCAGCCCTAGTGCGGGTCATGATGCGGAGCGAGGGGGACTGGGATGCCGTCTCTTCGCCTCCGAAGGAGAAGGCGGAACGCAATTTAATATATATAATTGTTAATGTGTATTAGTCACATACTTGTGGAAGCATGGTCTGCCATTAACTATTGAATTAATACTTTTTTTTCTGTTACAGTTTTAACCGATCCAGATGATTGTCTTACACTATCTAACACATGCTTTAATAAACCTTACGTCTACGACTTTGCCAAGGACTTCTTAAATAACGGATTTGTGACAGCGGATGGTGAGTGCGAATATATTCCATATTGACAAAATAAATGTAAGTCGTGGCTTGAATCTACTGATATTGACACTAGTCTAATATTATGTCTTGTCCACTAGGACAAGACATAATATTATGGCAAGCTCCGAATATGATCTCGGACACGATTCTCAGGTAGAAAAAAAATTTCTTCGGCGACTGTGAACCGTACTAAACGTATTTTAAATTGAAAACTAGGTCGTGACATGGATCGTAAAAAGAAGTGTGCACTTTTGTTATTGCTTAGGAGATACAAGAAAAATAAACAAAGAAGATTTTGGGAACATAAGATGTTGATGTGCGTTGCGAATTGATCGCAAGTTATTACGATGCGTAGAGCGAACTCGAACGTTTTTACGATGCGACGTTGAATCGCAGTTTTGTGTACGAGCCCTAAGATATCCACCTGTTTCACTTGTTTCACTTGTAAGGTACGCAGTAAACGAGCTGACGGATTACCTGATGGTAAGCAGTAGGCGTCGCCCATGGACACCAAAACAGCAGAGATTAACAAATCCGGTACCTTACGTTTTAGGGATTAGGAATTTGGAATTCGGGAATTGAGAAGATTGGGGAGGAGGCTAATTGGGCCTTCGGAAATTTACTTATTGTTACTCACATGACGAAACACAACGAGAACAATGCGTTTAATTGATTTAAAATTCTACGTATTATAAACAAAAGGTACAATAACTTAATCTCTTTTTAGCTTCTATATGGAAAGCTCATCGCAAATTATTAAACCCTTCGTTCAACCAGCAAGTCATATACACATTCATTGATGAAATAAACTTGCAAGCTCGAAATCTTGTCTTGAGTTTGAAAAATGAACTGGGAAGAAAGCCTTTCGACGTCCGGCCCTACTTTATCAGCTTCACAGTTTCTACTGCTATTCGTAAGTATAATTCTCCATTTGCATCACAATTCGATTTTACAGGGCTTACCCTGTAAAATCGAAATTTGAAACAAATACTTATATTTGTTTTCTCATCGACAAACAGTTTTTCTGTGTCTACCTATGTATATGCATGATGCACTGTGTGTGTGATCACAAATGCAGTTGCTGAACAAGGAATACCGGGCGGGCAGTGTTACAGGTGGGATATTCTATCCGGTGTATAGTAATAGGCTATTACGTAAGACACATTTTTTGGCTAGTTCATGTATACGAGAACAATGTTACACTAATTGTGTTTTTTAATGTTTATGTTGTATGTTAATTTTCGGTGGTCAATGTCTGGTGGCGAATAAATTATTTTTCTTTCTGTCTCTTTCTCTCTTTCAATTTTCAACCAAGAAGACAAAAGAGGACCAACTCAAGGTTCCAATTGGCGATATCCGTTCACGAACTTGACACGGCGGTGCTGGCGTAGGAATCTACGCTAGCACCGTCCAACGTAAGTGACATATACGTGCAAACAATATTGCAATAATTTGGTGATACACAATAAATACATAATGAAAATAATAACGCACATAGTACACGTACTTTATTTTTATACAGTAATATTTTCATTGGAAGGAATAAATTGACCTAAAAATATTTTTATTTGCATTACAGGATCTAGTCTTGGGCTAGAAGCCGAAGACCAAAAGAATGTAGACCGAAAGTATTGCGAGACTATAGACGATTTGTTTGCTCTGTACTGTGACAGAACCCAGAAAGTGTGGTTGCATATCGATTGGGTGTTTAACTTAAGCGAAATGAAACGCAAACAAGACAAACTTACAAACTCCTTGAAAAATATAATTTGTCCTGTAAGTTTCTGTAGGCCAATTAATAGGAGAAATCTTAGAGGAATGTTGATTATTCATGTGTTGTCCTTTGTAATATTGTCTGTGTGGTGTATTGGTACATGAAATGATAAATAAATAAATCATTTTAAGTCTTATTAACTTTTTCAGATTATACAGAAAAGGAAAGCCGAGATAATGACTAAAATAGAAACATCGTCGTTTGAGAATAAATCCGGTACGTAAAATCAGACTTGTATTACATTTTTGTATACTTCAAATGCAGTAAAAATTAAAAAAAAAATATGATATCAAAATCAAATTACTGGTACTCAATTATATCGAACTCATTGAAATTAAAATATTTTTCAGGTAAATTTGAACCAATTCTCGATCAGATGCTTCAAATGGCAAACGAGCAAAATGGGTTCACAGATGAAATTATCAGAGAACACTTAGATACTTTTATAGCAGCATCATATGACACGACGTCTTCATCTATGGTCTTCACGATGTTGGCAATTGCGTCATATCCAGAAATACAGAATAGAATTTATAACGAGTAAATTACATTGCGAAACTTTTATTAGACTTATCTTCCTTTGTATTTTATATTATTTACTCTACTTTTTGCCTAAGACTACCATTTACTTAAATAATTATGCAAATCAATTACATTCTGAACCCGACGTGCCGTGTCTGACCGACGCAATGAACGTCTGGACAGAAACATGTCCCAATTCAGCCTTGCCTATCAACCCTTCCTCCCAAAGACAATGGGACGAGCCGCTTTGCAGATTGGTGCATAATAATCTCAATAATACAAGCACCAAGCCTGCGGAGTTAGCTCGCCTATTGGCTGTGGGTGAGTGGGAATCAGGCCTCTGGCTTCAGGCACTTCCGTCACTCAATATTGGCACAATGTTGAATGACTCAACTTTTCGGCTTGCTGCTTGCTTGCGTGTAGGTGCACCCTGTGTTTCTCCGCATCGCTGTCAATGCGGTGAGATGGTCGACCACCTCGTCCACCACGGCCGGATAGCCCGACAAGCCAGCATTAACGACATTATACGTCGAGCTCTAGTCATTACCGGTGTGCCAGCTGTTCTGGAACCAAAGGGTTTGGCACGCGACGATGGTAAGAGACCCAACGGTATGTCCATTATGCCCTGGAAGCTGGGAAGGTCTTTGGTGTGGGACGCAACCTGCGTCGACACCCTTGCACCTTCTCATCTTCCAGTAACGGCGAGTTGTGCTGGTTCGGCTGCTGCCTCTGCAGAAAACCTCAAGCGGTGCAAGTATAACAACCTTGCTGGTAGTTATATCTTTGAGCCAATTGGGGTTAAGACGCTAGGGCCCCACGGAGTCCGAGTACGCTTAAATTGTTCAAAAACATTTCGAAACGCCTGGTCGACACATCTCGTGACCAGAGGGCTGGTCTTTTTCTCGGTCAGAGGTTAAGCATTGCCATACAACGTGGCAATGCTGCCCGCCTTCTGGGTACTTTCCCCACTGACGTCGTGGGGAAATAGTTGTTTTTGTTTTTCCTATAATTAATTGTAATCTTAAGTTGTATAATATATTTAATTTAGTAATATTTAGTTTTAATTTTATTTAAGTAATAGTTGGAATTTAAGTTTTTTATTTTTTAAATAAATGATTACATTCGAATAATAATGTAATATTTTACAGAATACAAGAAGTTTTGCCGAACAAAGACGATGACTTTTCAAAACAAGACCTACAAAAACTTGTGTACTTAGAAGCAGTTATAAAAGAATCATTAAGATTGTACAGTATAATTCCAGTTGTAGCGAGAAAAGTAGAAGTAGATGTTAAACTGAGTAAGTGTTTAAACAAATAGATAAATAGTGTTGTAAAAGCACAAAAAAGCAACTACTTAAGCAACTACGTTTCGCACGAGAACATTTCGGTACATGCTAAACAATAACAATATCTCTGTTGACTTAACGAACATTTATTAAATCCAAATGAGCTGGTATACGGAGTAGCTGAGAACCTTACGGGTTACCGGGGCTCCGGCTCGAAGTGCAGGGGTAGGTTCGGGGTGGTTTTTAGTCAGTAAGAGTCTGGCACTCCCTCCCAGCCTAGGAGGAGAAAAAAATATTTTCCGGTGAATAATTCCCAGTTATTGCTCACATGCATAGTATGCTTTACACGTGGCAACTGTTGTAAAATAATCACTTGTCGTACAATGTGGAACCATTGTGTTTTCAATCTTCGGTGTTTGGTATAGTTTCTTTCATTCAAATCTTATTCTCACAGATTATAAGGACAAATATTTCAGTTATAATATTTTATTAACAAAAATTAAATTAAATTTCAGAAAACTATACGCTGCGTGCCAACAGCACTTGTATCATTGGTTTGTATGCTCTCCATCGTCATCCTCTCTGGGGTCCCGACGTAAATGAGTTCAAACCAGAGCGCTGGTTGGACCCCAGCAGATTACCTACAAATCCTAACCTCTTCGCTCCGTTTAGCATCGGAAAACGAAATTGCATAGGTAATTATTTTATTTGATACTAGCTTTTCCCCGCGACTTCGTCCGCGTATAATAATGACTTCTGGCAAATTTTGGATTTTTTAATTAGTCTTTTCCAAGGTTAAATGCAATGCTGTGTAACAAAATTCATCAGAATCAATTCAGTTATATTTATTGTGAAATGTTGTTTATTTTCGTGATTTTAATAAATAAACAATCCATTCCCGTGAGGTTTCAGTGATTAAAACTCCATTTAAATTCCAATAAAATAGGTACGGTTGAAAACTACCAGGCATCAATTTCCGAGTCTCAACTCAAACTATCGTTGTCCCAAATTGCACGCCAATAGGTTCAGTGGTTTAAGTAATAGGGAGTCCCGGAATTTTAACGCATGGTTCCTGTCCCGTGAGATTTTCTTTCCAATGCCAGTTTCTTAAACTCTCGTTGAACCGAATTTCAACCAAATAAGTTCAATGAGTAATAAAATTAGTATTCAACATCTTTGCATACCTTAACATTATAATAATAATAATAAAGGTAATAAAAAAATAATAATAAAAAAATAAATTGTCAATAGTCCATTGGCATCAAAGTTACTTGTCAAAAATATGGCAGATAACATAGAAAGGTATACTAAATAATTTTGTTTACGTCTGTTGGTTTTGTTAGAAATTGACATAATTCTTTTACTGAGTTGAGATAGTAGAAAGGATTGAAAGTAGCATAGGCGACATTTTGTTTCTTTCTAACCCACCACTTCCCTTAAACAGGGCCTGAAAGTTTGTATGGAGCATTTCGTAATTTTCAATAAAACTAAAATTACTATCATATTTGTGGCCAGGAGAACATCGGATACCAATTCTTTTTTATGTTTTGTAAACATCGATACTGTAAAAGAGCGCGAGCGAATCCATGGGCAGAAGCTCGTCCATGAATAAAATGTATGCAGTTAATTGAATTCGTATTTTTGCTTTAAAATCTCTAATTCTGATGCACCGAAATACTATTTTTAGGCATTTAAAACAGTTTTCTGTTAGCAATCAAAGCAATACATAAGGAGTTTTTTGGTAGATTTTTTCACACATCGGGTTACATTATCAAAATTTTCTCACAATTCTTTTTTCTGTTTTATTAAATATATAGCCTATGTTCAGCATCGATAATTTAGGATAGCAACGGTAAAAGAATTTTTCAAATCGGTCCGGCAGTTTCGGAGTAGATGCCATTCAAACAAACAAACAAAAAATCAAATCTTTCCTCTTTATACTATTAGTGTAAATGTAGATGTAGATATTTATTTCATAATTTGCTTTTTAAAAAAATAAATACTCCATGATTTCCATTATACTCACTGTACAAAGCTTAAAAAAAAATATGTGATCTATGGAAGTGAGATAGATAAATTTACAACAAAAAAAATCATCCGTGACACATTCAAGAAGCACGCCTCCGGCGCGGCTGCGGCACGGCGTTGTTTGGAATTTGCCTACCGCTAGCCACCAGCGCGCTTACGGTGTACTGCCCGCAGCCTGTAAGCAAGCCACGAGGTGAAGGCTTTTTGGTTACCGCGAGTATTAATAGTACCTATTTAAGTACAATGTAACGTTGTTTCACTGGCGCCTGAGGGGCGGCTCGTCGTCAACTGGTTGTGTCGGCGCGTCGTCGCCGTGCGGACGACGCGTTTTTAGTCCGCGGGCGGTGCCACCACAACTCGCGGGCGGCTTTATGTATTGTCGTTTTGAAATATATCACGACAAATCATACGACGTACGATTTAAATAAGAACTTAATTTCTGGCTTGGAAGTCAGCGAATTAGATGTGCGATGACTTTAATACTGTATCTTACTAATACTAATACCTAATTCAATTCTTTATTTATTTTTAAATTGTCAATAAAAGATCTCAGGATAAATATATTATTCTAACGTTCCAGGCAAAACATTCGGCATGCTGATGATGAAGATAGCACTAGCACACATAGTACGACAATATCACATTTCTGGGAGCATCCATAATATAGAATGTGAATTTGATATAATATTGAAACCCGTATCAGGTCATCAGATTGGATTGAAACTAAGATCGTGAAGATAAACAACAACGGAGTATCGTATAATTTTAACGACAATAATGCCCCAAAATATTTTTATTTAATTCTTAAATAATAATTGGATGACCCAGCTTTACTCGGAATTTCTTTAGAAAAAAAAATAGAACAAAACATAAACGTTTGGACCAAGTATTGAACCCGAGTGTTCTACAGTGGGAGGCATTTCCCTGCTAAGCTATGGCGCTATGACGAAATTTAGCATGGAAAATAATAATCTTCCTAAAAAAAAAATCTCCAGCGATCTGTGGCCGACTATAAAAATGGATCTTCGAATAACAAAACTAAACTTCTGAATAGAATATTGAACTTCCGACAAAATTACTTATGCCCGAATATCGAAACTATACTCAATTTTATTTTTAAAACGCCAGAGATGGCACGATATTTAAACGCAACTTAAAATTGAGTACCCGTTCAGTATTTGGGCGTAAGTTACTGACGTTTTAGGTTAGGTTAGGTTAGTATTGTAGCAATAAACAGTCATGTAAAGTAGTCGGAAATTTAGTATTAGTCGGAAATTTAGTAGTAATTTAGTAGATTTAATATTTTCAGTAAGGACAATTCTTCTTTTCTTGTCAAAGCTTTTATTACTATCCATTTAGCATCGTATTCTAATAACATTTTTTATTTAATGAAAACACTGATAAACATAACGTCCAACTATATGCTGAGGTGGAGGCCCTTTTGGCATGAGCACGCGCGAATTGATTTTATTATTTTTTTTGTATATTCAAAATTCTGTTTTATCGTATTATTATATTGTTACTACACTGTGATGTTTTTTGTTCTGGTGTCTATTCTCTTAAGTTTATTATTAGTATTTTGTTTATATATCTGTATTTTTATTTTTTATAATCGTGTGTGTTAATTGTCAAATAAATGTTTTTTCTTTCTTTTCTTTTCTTTCTTTCTGACAAAACAATATTTTCGGAAAATGAAACCAGATCGAGACCAGATTTTGTAGGAAATTAGTTGTACCTCTATTATTACCTCCCGAGACTGTATATAGATATAAAACAGTGCCATGAATTGATTTGCTAACTATTATTACATATAATATTGTCAACTAGCTATTACTCGCAATTTCGTCCGCGTAAAACAGACTTCTGACAGAAATTGGTGTTTGAAATCAGTTTTTAGCAAGATATATTCTAGGGTTGTTATAATAAGTGTCATCAGAATTGATTCAGTACCTAGGTTATACATACAAGTGTGTTTATTAAGAAACAAATTTATATTGTATTTTTAGAAAAAATAATCCCACAGGGTTTTCTCCACAGGCAGTAGTGTGTGTGTGTGTCTGGGGTAGTGCAGCCAAGTCTTATATGCTTGAACTTGAACGTGCTCAACGCGCCGTTCTTAAAGTGCTACGATACGCCGCGGTGCTACTGCACAGACGAACTATATAAAGAAGCAGATGTCCTGCGCGATCGACAACTCTATATCCTGAAATGTCTCCTTAGACTTGTTGCTGCGTTAAGAAGCCAGTTCACTTACACCAAAAGAGGCAGGAGCCGTGCCAACACATTGCCAATTCCAAAAGTAAAAACCACGTTTGCTTCTAGTCTTTTCTCCCTATATAATCTATATAATAATCTTTAACGCAGTCAACAAATCGACTGGGCTTGCTGTCATTGCAGCGGTAATTTCCCTTTTTTGAGGAGTGGCTTGAGAGACGCTATGGCGTCCTCACCTACCGCCTGACGCAGGTGCTTAACGGACACGGAAGTTTCGGTAGGTTCCTGTTAACTGATTGGGCGGGAGGAAACGCCCGGGTGTCATCATTATGAGTACCGCCCGGAGGATACGGTGTAGCATACGGTGGCAGTGTGGCCTGCGTGGACTAAGCTCCGCTGTGTCCTCAGGGATGCGATCGGTGACGGCGACCTTTTGCGTCCGGGTCTGGTTCAGATGGTACGGAGTTAGGGGGACTATGATGCCGTCCCCTTATTCTACAATGCAGTGATGCTAGCTAAGAAGGAGGCGGAGCGCGTGAGGGAATGAACCTCCTCACGCCCCAGCCGTGCTAGACATTGCGGGCGTCGGTGATCACAAGACGATCTTCTGTGACCGACCGACTTAAATAAAGTCTTTATCTCAAAGAGTATATAGAACTAAACACTCAATTACGACAGAAGGCGAAAAGTACATTCGAGCAAGACTTTTTTAAATTGTTAAACAACAGTGTCTTTGGTAAAACGTTAGAAAATACTGAAAAGAGAGTCAGCGTACAGCGTGATAAAACAAATAAAACCAACAAATCAATATCCGCTGAGAGAGAGAAAATTTAGTTGCTATACAAATGAAACCAGATCAAAAATCTTAGATAAACCTATTTACATAGGTTTCCCAGTCCTAGGCCTTTCTAAGTCGCATATGTATAATTTTCATTACAATGTAATTAAACCTTTTTATCACGATCGAGTACGTCTATGTTGTACAGATAACGATATTTTTGTGTATAAAATACATACCAACGATTTCTATTATGATCTAAATTATCATTTTTGCAATACTTTGATAGCAGTAACTATGATAATGAGAACGAATTTACAATACCGCAAATCAATAAAAAAATCCAGGTCTTTTTAAAGATGAAATGGGTGGTAAATACATATATATCTGATTTTGTTGGGTTGAGGTTAAAGCTCTATTCTTTGAAAACTCCAAATACAGTTATAAAAAAAGCATAGGGAATTAAATCATTATAATCTTCACCTATAAGTTTTTGCAAGATTCTTTGGGTTCCGCGCCCTTGTTGATCAGCTATGATAATTACCTTATTTTTCTTTACTTCCCGGTTTCAGGATATTGGCTTGTTCTATGCTTGTTTGTGGATCAGTGTATTTAATATTTGTTGATGTATATAAGTTTAAATTAGTTAAACAGTAAATTGGTCCTACTGATATTATGTATAGGTGTTGATTTCAGTTCAGAACTTGGTAATGAATTACATTCCAATATTTGCAGTCTTTGTCACTTTTATTGGGGTGGTAACGACAACATCCGTTCGTTCGTCTAATGTTTTATTTAGCATCGATGTGTTTTGTTGCTTTTTTTTCCTTACAGGCGTTAATTTTTAGCTTTTGTTAGATTTTCGTTTGCGCTCTGAGCGCGGCGATAAATAATTTACTATACGTCGATGTCATTTAATTTCTTATCATTTTAATATATTTTTGGACATCCGTTTTCAATCTATGATTTTCCAAATTTAAATTTACAATTTCTAAATGGGTGCTTTGTAGGTCACTAGACAATTGTTTTACTTTTTCTTGTAGATCTACTATTGTTGGGCTCATATTTAATGAAGTGTTTGGTAAACTTGCCATGATATGATCAAAAACTGACTGCACGGTTGGTGCGGTGGCTGGGCAACCGGCTGCCGTGCAACGTGTCGCGGGTTCGATTCCCGCACGGAACAACACTTTGTGCGATCCACAAATTGTTGTTCCGGGTCTGGGTGTCATGTGTATGTGAACTTATATGTTTGTAAACGCACCCACGACACAGGAGGTAATCCTAGTGTGGGGCAACGTTTTTTAAAAAAAAAAAAAAAGATCCGAGTCGTCAGCAGTAATATCAGGCAAGGAGCCTATTCTGAATAAGTTATGGTTACGGTGTATAATACACCGTATAGTATACAATAAAATATAATGTTTTCATCCATATTAATTGTATATCGAAAAATTATTATTTATCATTTTTTTTGTGATTGTATCACTATTTACGCCCATTGGTGGCGAGTTGTTCTATTTTTAGTTCGCCTATTCGCCACTTTGTAGTATTGCTGGCGCTAGTTATTATCGTACATTATGACAGGTCCGAAGATCATATTATTATTTTGAATATTTTTTCTAAACGGTATTTTTATTTTGTTTTTCCTTTATAATTCACTAACCTTTGATGGATACTGAGCAGGAATTTGTTATTAAGCCATTCAACTCGGCTTTTTAACTGTAACCATTTCAGTTTTAAACACAGGTTATTTATTTTTAAGTCATTTTAGCACTTTCCAATATATTTCGTAAAAAAACTGTTTCAATTGTTATATCACCAAATAAATAGTCACATTTAATATCACTTGTCAATCAGAGCCTTTATAGTCCAACGCACTACTATGATTATTGATGTCGTTGCTATTTTATTTATTTACGTGATTTATATACGCGGGTTTTGTTAACAGCGCCAGTTTTGCAATTATAATTGAGTATTCCTGAAAAGATAGTTAAAGTTAGATACTTACCTGTACTATGATACTAGTCCCTCTATATTCATGGGTGAACTAATTGCTTAGTGACTGGCGATACGCAGGTAAGCTCATTTGGTCCTCATTAAAAAATTTGTTGGGTTGATTAAGATTAGACGAACACCCATTTTATTCTTAACTGCGTTTACACTAAATCTATGTAGTAATCGTCGTTTACGACGTCCGCTTCTCATCGCGCGGATTTTGCACGGAGACACCATTGTGCCATATATTCAGAGTTGTTGAGTTGAGCAAGACCCCATTTGCTTATTGCGTTGCGTCGCTACGATGCAATGATGTGATGGAGCCAAAGATGATGATTTTAATTATGAAATGAAACATCACGCTATGAACAATAATAGAGGCCGAGCAATTGGTAAAACTGCGTGGAAGTAGTTAAAGTATCATCACTACATCACTACATAGTATAAAACAAAGTCGCTATGCCGTCTGTCTGTCCCTATGGATGCTTAGATCTTTAAAACTACGCAATGGATTTTGATGCGGTTTTTTAATAGATATATTGATTCTTAAGGGAGGTTTATATATATAAAATATGCATATTGCACCCGTGCAAAGCCGAGGCGGGTCGCTAGTAAAAAATATATAATCACAATAACAATAATTACGATGCAAGTAGCCGTCTTGTTGTATGAGAATTATAAAACTAAAGGAAATAAACCGGCTGACCAATTAGATACTTATATATTATTTATATATTATTATAATAGCATGAATGTCATTGAAAATCTAGATTCGTAAGGAGAACGAGTTAGAAATTCTATAAATAGTCTTAAAAATCAACCAATTATTTAATGCCACATTAAATTTTTACAAGCGTTTTTCAATTAGAATTTCAATTCTTGAAAGTAGGTATTTGGGAGCGTTCAAGTATTACGTAACGCAATTTGGGGGGGTGGGGTGGTCTCGTAAAACGTTACGATGCGTTACACGGGCGGGAGGGGGTCCTTCTTACAACACGTTACGTAACATTATTTCTTTTTTTATATAAAAAAATAGGGAAATAAAACTCCCAAATTGGCAACTCTTTTCGTTTACGTTTTACGGGGAATCTCTCGATTGTATTAGTCTGGTCGCTATTTTTAATTTGTTCTCGCATGTTGGTAAACCTTTTCGTTTATATTTCACGGGGAATCCCTAGATTGTGTTGTACGTCATTTAATGTTGTTTTTGTTGTCAGTATTCGTTAGTGTTTATGCAGAAGCATATTGCTGTAGTCGCTGTTATTAAAGTGAGTTCATAGTGTTCATACTGTAATGTCCTCAAAAGAAGGAGATTTGTATCATCAGCTGTTCTTGGCCTATAAAGGCTCTCATGCTGACTTGCCAGCGCAAGTATGTCAAAAAAATGCCAATGAAATTTGGAAAACGGCTAAAGAAAAACTAAAAAACAAAGAAAAGTTTATAGGACATATAAATGATGTTATACGAGAGTTGAAGGTGAAGGCCACGAAGAATAAAGCAACAATGCTTAGTTATTTTACACAAGTAAGTTTACTACTAAAATGTAATAATGACATAAGTATTATATTTAGTCCAAACCTTGATTTTTCATAAAAGAACTGGTCATAAGTATTTTATATTTCTAGCTACCTATGCAAACATCAAGCACGCCAGCAACACTATGGCCCAATGCTCCCTCGACTTCGCGTGCTCCTCAACAAAAACAGGTGCATCTGCTTATATGTATTGTATATTATGTTCTTTTTTATCGCATGTGTCAATAATACCTATTCTTAATTAATTTTCTCTTGGTCTATAGGATTCGAATGTTGTAGCTTCATCCACGTATTCATCTCTCATGGAATCGATTGTCGCAGTCGCTGGACATGAAGGCACTGCCGTCAAACGAAAGATGAGCGATATCCACGAGAAGCAAAGTCAGAATACTGATGGGGAAACTGTGGAGACATCATCTACGGAACCAGACAAGACTTTGGTTGATTCGGTCATCACTAAAAATGTTCCAAGCAAACCGGCTCAAGAAACTCTTATGAAGAAAATTGGTCTACTGCAACAAAAAATAAATGTTCTCACTGAAGCAAGGGACACTGGTATAGCCAAAGATGATGTTCATGACGAAATAAAAAAGCTACGCCAAGAATTGAAAGAAGAAGAGAAATGTTTGAAGAAAAAAAGAAACTCTGTTAAGCGTGCAAAAAAATTTCGAGCCAAAGAAAAACTGGAGAAAACTGAACGTCAGAGAAACAATCCTGCTGCAGCACAACCTCGAACTGGCCCTGGACAGCCCTCTTTAGTTGACTCGCAACCTGCTCTCCTAGAGACCATAATTAATATTGCCATTCATGGCAGCGCTGCTGATGAACGCCGCCGAACAGAGATGATTAGGAGTTGTCTCACTCTGTCCGACCTGCATGAAAGGCTGTTGTTAATGGGATTCCAAATTTCTCGAAGCGGCACATATCTTCATTTACTCCCACGCGTTTCTAACACACAAGAGGGAAGAAGACACGTACGTACTGTACCCGTAAAGTTAGCAAGACCACAGACCGAGATGCACAAAAAACACGAGGACGGGGAATTTTGCACTGCTACAATCAGGTCATTGGAATCTCTCGCTTCGCTTCTGGGACCGCAGCAAGTATTCGTTCTCTCACAAGACGATAAAGCACGTGTACCGATAGGTTTACCGGCAGTAAAAAGTCAGAGCCCTCTTTTAATGCATATGGAATACAGAATACTTTTACCTGATCATGACTGGGTCGTGGCAGAGCGGCACAAACTTATAAATAATCTTTATTCATAAATATAAATGGACACAGATACAAAAATATTCCCTGGATAAGAAAAATAGATCTCACATGGTTAGGTGCCTGTACTAGGATAATCCTGTGTCACAGGCGAGAGTAGATCTAACATAATTATAATTTTGTTGTAATACATTCTTTTTTCTACAAACATAATACTTGACATAATTCTGACAAACTAATATATGACTATTTAATATACATACACACATACATAGCCTCACGCCTTATGCTCCCGGAAGAGATAGGCAGAGGTGAAACAACTTATTCCTTCTGTATACGCCGGCGTCAACGTAAAACCTAACAATTTCGGTAGGGAAGAAGCTGTTGGGTACAGCGAGCCGACACACATATCCATAAGGAGCGGGAAACACTCATCCTCCACAGCGAACACCCACGCTTATGATTTCGAATCACTTTTATCAATACCTTCATTCAAATCCTTAATGATGACAGAATCGAACACCGTGAAGCCAGTAATCATCATCTTTGTAGATGGTGGGCCGGACGAAAACCCGCGTTATCGCAAAGTCAAGAACTTTGCGATTGAGCACTTTAAAAAATACAACCTGGACGCCCTGTTTATAGCGACTAATGCTCCTGGGCGGAGCGCATATAACCGAGTTGAGCGTCGCATGGCTCCCTTCAGCAAACGACTGGCAGGCGTCATTTTGCCTCATGAACATTTTGGTTCTCATCTCGACGACAAAGGAATGACTACGGATGATGATTTGGAAAAACGCAATTTTCAGCACGCTGGGGAAACACTTGCAGAAGTGTGGAGAGAAATGAAAATTGATAATTATGACGTTTCGGCGGAGTATAGACAGCCCGAAGATAGCATGCAGGATCCAGCAGAACCAAATCTGGCGTGGTATAGCGTTCACGTCCGTGAATCGCAATATTTCTTACAGGTTATAAAATGCGCAGATGAATCCTGCTGTTCACCACCGAGAAGTGCATTGAAATATGTGTTTACGGATACTTTCATGCCGCCACCTTGCCCAATACTTCAAACCCCAAGCAAGCTCGTAGTACCCAGTTTGTTAGACAAAGGAAAATCCAAGTTTTCGCCACTTCTTGTAAGGTTGTCCGTTAATCTGTCACCTTCTCTAGAAGGGTTTAAGCAGATGCCTTACGATTTCTTTTGTCCATCTGTACAATCCGACCTAAAGAAAAAAGTATGTCCAACCTGTGGGATCTATTTCACATCTCACAGGAGTGTTCAAATGCACTGTCGTTACGTGCATGGCAAGACTGTCCAAGACCATTGTGAAACTAGAGTACGGCCACAGCGCCTTGCTGCCAGAAGGGCAAATGAGCTTCTCTGCATTGTGCGTCGTTATGAAACATCGTCTGAGGATGCTGACTGGCTCGACGAAGACGAAGTTGATGCAAGTGGCTTAACAATTCCAGAACCGTCTTCGTCTGCACTCCAGGTGCCAGTGATGAAAGAATCTGAGTGGCTAGCAAACCCGTGGACAGAGGAGCAGTAATTTCAATCGAATTGTTTTTATAGACCTACTTAGATACTTGGTTAATAGTTGATTATTTTTTATTTTGTTAAGAATACGATTTTATTTCGAGTAAAATGTTTAATTTCAGTTGGGTTTCTGTTTATAATTGCATTGCCAAAGGTTAAAGTAATTATTTGAAGAATTTATTAGTAAAAAAGCTAAAATACTTAGGAGAATGAAGGAGAAAAACAATTGTGTTTTGTAAAGCCAAAAATTTATAAAAAAATAAACAAAATACGCAGGTGTTGCGAATTAAAAATCTCTTGTTTTATTATAAGGCAATTAAAACTATACGAAGGATAAAAACTATAACAACTTTTTGCGACTTCAGGATAAAAATGATGACTTGAGTGTTACGTAACCTTAAGAGAGGGGGTGGGGGGGTACAGAAAAACGTTACGGAGCGTTACAGTGGGGGGAGGGGGGGTCAAAAATCTTCAAAAATTGCGTAACGTAATACTTGAACGCTCCCTTTCCAAATATCAGTATCAAGTCATTATAGATTAATTTTATTTTTTGATTTGAAGTATATCGACGTCTTTTTATTTTGAGCTTGACGTGGTTGATTGGATTTTTTTTCTTTTAAATATTTAACACAGAATGTATGATTTAACATAAGAATATTCAAAACATCGAACGTTTTCATTTGAATAAAATATTTATTTATCTAAATTAAGTGTTGCTTCGGCACGAATGGACCGAAAATCGGGGTCGTACCATGTCAGTTTATCTCTTGGATCCCGAGCTGTCCCGACAATGGATTGCCGAGTCGAGTTGTATAAATGTCCGTAGAACCTTTCGAGCTCTCTCCCAATCTCTGACTTCGATGAAACGATGCTACCATTTTCGGATTTCAGTTTCGTCATTTGGCTTTGCCCAATAGACGAATTTCTTGTGAACACTATAGCAATAGAATCAGGGCTCATCCCTAACTCGTGCGCCTTTATATGCACGCAGGTTGCGTCGCATAGATTTGAAATACGCCTATTGAGTTCGCCGTATCCAGACATGTAAACTGTAGACTCATCTCGTGTCGGTCTTTCAGTAATTTGAGTGTTTTGTTTGAAAATTTTTGACGTCTATTTCGGCGTGGGATTTTGAATCCCACGCCGAAATAGACGTCAAAAATTTGAGCAAACTGCGTAGACAGTTTCCACTAACCTATAATTTAACTCGTTAATCGTTTCACACTCAGCCAGGCACTGGAAGCGATTTTATTATTATATGCAGTTGGAGCTGAAACTGTTCGGGGTTCCGGACCTGGGCGCAACCAGGACGGAGTGTGGATTTCAACAGGCGTGACCTCTCTAGCTTGACATTGATATTCAGTGTGCCTCTGACAATACGGTGATCGCTGCCGGTTTTTTTTTTGACTTTTCGGTCGCTATGATGAAGTCGATCTCATTTTTGGTATAACCATCGCGGCTTATCCACGTCCACCTCCTAGATGGTCGCTTTTGGAAGAAGGAGTTCATCAGAAAGACAACACGGTTAGTGCGGTGGCTGGGCTTTTTGGCTGCCGTGCAACGTGTCGCGGGTTCGATTCCCGCACGGAGCAACTCTTTGTGTAATCCACAAATTGTTGTTTCGGGTCCGGGTGTCATGTGTATTTGAAAACCCAAACCACGCAACCCTGTCAAACAACAACACCCGTACTTCGATAACATAACGTGGCATTTATCTTTTCCAATCACAGCAAGTCCTTCTCCCATCTTGATAGAACCACCAAGACTTTCATTATCCAAATTATTATTTAATGCAACATTATCCTAACTCGGGAGACTAACACATCTAAGTTAACTGTATTAGAATACAGCACATTCTATGGTCATCGGTATTTACCAGGCAGTAACCAATATTCCCTGTCCGGTTCACCCCTTGTTGAATCTCAAATATAAATACTACCACTATAATTCGTTTGAGCATCAAATGTAACTGTTTTAAGTCCTATATATCTGAAATTATATCATTTTTTGGTAGAACCCTAGCTTCACCCCTCATGTCAAATTGTCAAACTTTTCAGTTCTTAAATACTGACTTACAGCTACTGAGCTGTCTTAACTATTCTTAAATTAAATTAGGTTGTTCCGTAAAACTGTGTCCAAGGAGCACTGGAATATTGATAAGTGAGTCTTTTTCTCCATTAAGACCTCTACCTGTTCCTCCTACATCCTGAATCTCGATTATATCAAAAGTTTTACCTACAGTTGTATATTAAGCAGGAAATACTGCCTAAGTCTCTCAACAATGGGCTGTTCAGCAGTGTCCAACTGACTATCAATTTTATAGACTATCTAAATCAAACTGTCAAGCATTGACTATACCATATATTCTGCTATATTTATCATTTATGTCATCATTTACAGACACTTTTAGGACACTTCTCTGTTAACTATTGTACTTTTATTAGAAACATTATCATTGGTAACACTTTTATTAGAAACATTATCAATATTATCATTTTATTTAAGTATTTTAGTTATGCACTAATAAGTTGCACTCAGAATTATTAAATTTTTTAGTTGGTTTATGACATTATAGCTTTATATGACCATTTTATTACATTTAATATACATTGCATTCCCCTTGTTCGCAGTCCGCAATTTTATCAATGATTTTGAATTTAGGGCTGGTCCAGGTTAAAGAACTTTGCAAATGTCATCATGTCATCATATCATATCACTAGCCCCCTATTTCCTACTACACTGTACTTAATAAAGTAAGATATAAACACTTTCTTAAAAAAATCTCTAAAGTTTCATCAGGTTTGTCAAATCTTATTATTATTATAAATGCGAAAGTTTGTGTTCACGTGTATGTGATGACGAGATGTGAAAGGTTCACGCAAAAACTACTGATTGGATTTAGATGAAACTTCACAGTAATGTAGGTCATACCTACATCAGAATTGATGTATGAGGTTATGCTTAGATGACATCATTCCAAACCACCAGTTTGGCTTCTGAGAAAATCACGGAACAATTGAGCAAATTCATCAAATCGTCGACGTTATAAGCAGAGCCCTAGAAGACAGGAAATATTGTTCACCGGTCTTCTTGGATATAAGCCAGGCGTTCGACAAAGTGTGACATGAAGGTTTGTCATATAAAGTCAAGAAGATGCTTCCTCACTCATTTTTCCACATACTCAAGTCTTATCTCAGCAAAAGATGTTTCGAGGTAAAGTTTAACGACGAACTTTCCATCCTGTATGAAATCAAATCAGGAGTACCACAGGGAAGCATAATCAGCCCAGTCCTCTATATCATATACACCGCCGAACTACCAACAACTGAAAAGACCACAGCTGCAACGTATGCAGACGACACGGCACTGTTATCCACTCACACGAACCCTGTAATTGCGTCAGAACAATTATAACACCATTTGAACGAGGTAGAGACTTGGCTTGAACTTTGGAGAATCCGCGCTAATCAAAGCAAGTCAATCCACGTAACGTTTACTGTCAGGAGAGACACCTATCCACCAGTCACACTTAACAATCAAGAAATACCGCAAGATAATAACGCGAAATATTTGGGCATGCACCTTGACAGACGGCTGACATGGCAAAAACATATTTTGACAAAGAGAAAACAATTAGATTTAAAATTACGAAACATGTACTGGCTAATAGGACGCCATTCGCAAATGACTACACATAGCAAGCTGACTATATATAAAACCATCTTGAAACCAATATGAACTTATGGCATCCAGCTCTGGGGTGCAGCCAGCAATAGTAACATTGAAATACTGGAAAGATTCAAAACTAAAACACTGAGAGTAATTTTTAACATCCCTTCGTACATTAGTAATAAAATCATATATCTTGACTTAAAACTACCAACTGTCAAACGCGCTGTCAAAAACTGGTAGTCACACTTACCAGAAAAGACTATCAAAACATAAAAATGAGCTTGCACACAGACTGAGTGGAGACCAAGGCCTTCAGTATAAAAGACTGAAAAGACACAGTGTTTTAACCTTACAAAATAGATTTACCAGGATGGAATGAGACACCAAACTGAGAAGTGTCTATCCAAGCTATAAACCATAAGCATATATTGAATATCAGACAAGACAGTGGCTTATCGTTGCCCACAACAGATTGCCGCGAAGCAGAAAGACAACAAAAAAAAATACATCAGAATAACATATATCAGGCTATAATTTGTAATGACTTTATGTAATTAATTACGATTTATCTGAAAACGGATAACTGACTATGGTAACCAACCTGATGATTTGTAATTGTTATGGCCTTTTTTAAGGGAGGAAAATCATCGAATGACAGCTCCCGCCTGGGTGAGGCTCCTTCCACTACCCAGTGGAAGGAGGCGCGTAAGTGGGTGGATGCAGGCTGTGTTCGGTTCGGATACATTTTTGATGCTTCAAAATGAATTATTATTTGTGTTAGAAAAACTCAAAATGTTAATTGTTACTCAAATATGGGAGCTGAGCTCCGGTTTTCGCTCTCAAAACCAGTTTCCAAAAATCGTTAAATATTGGCCGATTTCCGGTTTTGCCCTAATTCAAATCAAGTAGGTACAGCTGTTGAAAACTGTCAGGCGTCGCGTCGTTTTCCGAGTCCAATTCCACTCAATAAAGTACGGTTAATTGTTTAAAAGATAGCTAGAAGTATAAGAAGTATAACGCAGATCCCGTTTCGAATTTTCGGGATGCATCTATCATGCATCTTTACCCAGCTGTCGCCCTTTTATCATGATATCAAAAAAAATTGTTAATGATCCGTTGGTTCTATAAACTTACTTGTCGAAAAAAAGGCCGATGACATAGAAACCTATACATAATATAAATTTATAATTTATAAATTGTAATAATAAATTTATAATATGTTTGTTGATAATTGAACAGATGGAGAGTAACTAATATAGGCTACTTTATGTCTCTTTCTACTACTTCCCTTAAGCAGGAGTTGAAAGTCTGAATAGAGCATTTTCCAATTTTCCAGGTAGAAAGCTAAAATTAGGTACGCCGACTGTTTGGGCCCAGTAAAAAGCTCTTTTGGAAACCTACAATCCTTTAAAAGACCATGAGCAAATCCGTGTTTAGAAGCTAGGCCATGAATATAATGTATTAAGTTATTTGTGGTTTAAGTGTGGAAGAGCTATGCTTTAGCATGAATGGGCTTGCTCGACCGGAGTGATAACACGGCCCCATAGAAAACCGCCGTGAAACAACGCTTGCGTTGCGTTTCATCGTGTGAGTAAGGTTACCGGAGACCCAATTACACCTCCCCAGTGTCCCCTATACCCAAATCCCCCATAATCCTCAAATTCGCAAACGGCCGGTAACAAATTTTTAAACACCTATAGCATTTGCCTTCATAGTTTTTAATTGGTAGTCAATAGCCTTGAGCAATAATTTCTACATATCGGGTTATGTTATCGAAATTTTCATACGGTTCCCTTTTTCTGTTATTAGGTATTTATAGCCTATGTTCATTAGGAAAGTATGCTTTTTTCGAACTGTTAAAATCGAACAAAACGTTTTTTCAGCGTCAAACAGCATACTTATTTCTTTAAAATTTGCTAGACAAATATTGAAATTAAGTCGATTATAAAATCAATTAATGAACGTGTGATTATTTTTTTTACAGTCGAAATTATTCATTTTTGATGATAGAAACTGGAAACTGCCTCATCGGCCGAGTGGTCGCAAGTGCGACTGCCGAGCAAGGGGTCTCGGGTTCGATTCCCGGGTCGGGCAAAGTATTACTGGGTTTTTCTCAGTGGTAGCACGGAGTCTGGAACTGTGCCCGGTATATGGCAATAGGCTCACCCCCTATTACATGGGACTCATAACAAAAATTGTGAAAAGTGGGTGTTACATTACAGTGGCATTAAGTGCCGTAATGTGCACCTCTGCCTACCCTTTCGGGGATAAAAAGGCGTGATGTTATGTTATGTTATGGAAACTGGAAAGTAAACAATTCAAAAAAACGAACAAACAAACCAAAAATCTGATCTTTGTAATATTAGTATCCATAGATTAGCTTTGTACATAAATATGCGATTTTCAATTAGTTGGGCTCAGAACGTGTTTAGACCTTGACAATGTACACAAAGCACCGCTAATTAGTTCGTAACGCTCACATCGACACTACTGTCATTTACACAATGTACATGTGTGGGTAATTTCATATTACTGTGTATAAAAATATTCGTCCACCACATTCACATTGGTATTTTCATTCTTGTGTCGGTATACGTGTTTTTATAATTTAATGCATGGGTAAGGTTAAAACTATTTACAATCATTGATATGACCCGACATTTTCACTGTAATTATCGTAGTGCTCGTGGTCGATTGGTTAATGAGTACGCTTTTATCGTCTTTCAAGGATCAATGATGATGTGGGTTCTATTCCAGCTAAAAGTTTTTTTTTATTTTACCTTGTTGTTTTTCTTATTTATTTTTTTTTTGTTTTTTGTCATATAATATAAATATCAGGCTATAAAAGAAGCAAATCAGTCGGTAAATAAAACAATACTATTTTTTATTAAAATTAATTTATTAATTATACAAATATGTGGTTTTATATTCAATATTTATATCTAATAATTAATTATATACCACATGTTAACTTTAAAGTTCTTCCAATCATTCTAAATTATTCTAAATAATAAATAACTAGAACTAAAATATAAATAAAGGATATTATAGGTATAAATAAATCTAAAGTATTTACTATTAAAATTAACATAAGATTTAGAAAAATAGGATAGGAAAAAAAGAAAAGATTTAATTGTTTCTAATTTCACATTTCAAATATTTGATTAATTAATACTAAAACAACATGTGAATGCTGGAATCGATCCGGTGGCACTTTACTTGACCACTGGAGGCGATAACCATTGCGCCAAGCGCGCCGTAGATGAGAACATCGAAATATTGTATATCATTCAGTAACATAAAAATACAATGAGAATGCACTATATTTATATAAGTATTGTATTGCTCGATCGTTCATTATTTTTGATTTCGATTTATTCAAAGTTTGTTATGAGTATTTTTATCTTTACCCTCGTTTTTATTTAAACTTATTTACTAAAATATTACGTATACCGACACAAAAATGATATGTAATACCAAGATGTGTGTGATAGAACGAATGTTTCTATACATATCTATTAATATGAAATTACCCACACATGTTCACTGTGTAAATGATAGTAATGTCGATGTGTAGCGCCTCGAACTAATTAGCGGTGCTTTGTGTACATA